GGCCGGCTTGGGGTTTGAGCCAGCTGCCCGGCTGCTCGTGGACCTGGGGCAGGCATCGGGGCGGGGAGGGCCGCGCGCTGATGGAGATGGAGCCACTGCGACCTTGAAGGGTGCATTTCTGGACATCTGGGTGTCCCCGAGCCAGACGGGGCACCACGCCGGACTTGGAGGGGTCCAGATGCCTCTGGTTTCTCTTTGTACTCAGGAGGTTGATCTGGGACCGGAAGTGAACGAGGAGGTGATGTTGGCCACCGAGCCAGGTGTGGGGCCAGAGGTGGAGGCCGCGGAGGCCACGGAGGAGGCTCAGCCTCGGCCCCCGCTGGGCTTGGCGGCGGCAAGGAAGGACAGCGTGGGCACGGAGGCGGCAGTGCTGACTGACCAGCGGCTGGTGCTCGCCCGGTAGGCGCTGGAGCTGGGGGTGGGGGACGCCAGGGGGGTGCAAGGTGTGGGCCTGGGCTCTGGGTGCCCGTAGAGTCTTCTCGGCCTCCCATGAAGCCCGCCCCTCGCTCTCCCTCCTGCCAGGGCTGAAGTGGCCCGGTCCTGTCTCTGGGGCAGTGGGGAGGGGAGGGGGTTGGGAAGGCCGAGTCAGCCGGGCAGGAGGGCTCTGCTCTGGGAGGGCCCGTGCCACCAGGTCCCGTGGGGGAGCGCGAGGGGGCTGTTGCCGGCTGCCGGCCTGCAGGTGCCAGGCTGCCTGTGGGCCCTTGAGCCCCAGCACCCTCCCTGACGGAAGACTTGCTCACCCTGGGGCCACCTGGGAGTGACTTCCTCACTCACTGAGCAGCTCTGCGCCCCGGGACGTTTCCGAGCCTCGGTTCTCACTTGTGTAAATGGGAATAATGTCAGGCCCACCTCTGTGGCCAAGTCAGCCCAGCTGCCAGCGTGCAGCCTCCTCCCTACCCACTGCCCAAGGGCGGACATTAACTAAGCAACTGCCATACGCTGGGCACTGGGAGGCGGGGGGTGAGGAGTCGGCTTGGCCTTGGAGGGGCTTGTGGCAGGAGGGGCGGGAGGTACACAAGGCCGGGAGGGTCCAGCTCCAGGCAGCTGTGAGCAGCCAGTCAGGCTGGGCCCGCCCGCCGCCTCGGCCCTTAGCTGCTCCCTCTGTGCCTTAACATTGCATCTACAAAGTGGGGGACAGTGACAGTTCCAGTTGCGATGCCTGTGAAGGTCAAAGAGGACAGGGCCCGCAGAGGTGGCAGCTGGCAGCTGGCCCGCAGAAACAAGGGGCGTGTGCCACGTCTGGAGTGGTGATCAGGGGAGGGCCCCGGGGGGGTGGCAGCGGAATGTGACCTGATACGATCATATTCATATCAGGGCAGGTGGGGGCACGGCCAGGGCGCCCCGAGAGACAGGGAGGGAACCGCCTGGTGCTTGAAGTAAGAGCAGAGTGCAAGCTGCAGGGCTTTGGGTTGGGGGTGCGGAGGGAGATGAGGTAGTGAGGCCCTGTGTGCCCCTGGGGGCGCCGGGCTTCTTCCTGATGGACCCCTCAAGAAGTGCCCCTGGTTCCTGCTGCCTGAGCGCCCCACTGGGCTGGGCAGCTCCATCCTTCCCTGGAGCAGGACCTCCCAGCTTCGGGAATCCTGCGGTCCCTGTGGCTTGGAAAGCAGCAGCCTCTAAGCACTTCCGTGCGCTCTCCTGGGCAGTGAGGAGCCCGTCAGTCAGCCTTTCTGCGGGCTTGGCTAAAACCTGTGCTTTAAAAAGTGGAAACCTATTTGGCCTCTGGAGATAAATGTTCCTGAAATGTAGCGCACGGGCCGTGCAGGCAGCGTGCACTGTGTGGGACCCCACGCACACAGCGTGGCTCTTTTTGGAGAAAACCTGTTTTAGTGGACACTCATCCCTGGGCCTCGGTCTCCGTCTCCGGAGGTGGGAAGGGGCCGGGAGCCTCGTGCAGGACAGAAGTGCTCAGGGACTGGTAGACAAGGTCGCGTTTGCTTTCTCCTCTTGGCGGGCAGTCTGCAGCTGCTGGAGCAGCAGGTGGTCGGCGGGGAGCAGGCCAAGAACAAGGACCTGAAGGAGAAGCACAGGCGGAGGAAGCGGTATGCTGACGAGCGCAAGAAGCAGCTGGTGGCGGCCCTGCAGAACTCGGACGAGGACAGCGGGGACTGGGTGCTGCTCAACGTTTACGACTCCATCCAGGAGGAAGTGAGGGCCAAGAGCAAGCTGCTGGAGAGGATGCAGAGGAAGGTGAGGCGGCTCCGCGCCGGCCCTCCCAGGCGGCCGCGCAGGCGCCTTCTGTTCCCGACCTGACCCGACCTTCGTGCACCCTCTGTGTGCGGCGGCGCCCCGCGGCTCTGCTCTGGGGGAGCTTGGGGTGCAGAGGGAGCCCGTGTGTAGGACATCACATAACAGACAGACAAGCAAGAAGAGCCTGGGGTGATAACGCCGCGAAGAGATACCGGGTGGGGGGCGGTGGGAGGCGCCTTTGCTGTTTTCCTTCTTATGCAAGTGGAAACGCACAAATGCCAAATGCACAACCGCCTTGGCTCCAGCGCATGCGCCAGGGCCAGAGGCCCCGCAGCTCATCTGGCCCAGGTGTCAGGGAGGTGGTGAGTTCCCAGCTGGGGCCTGACAGGTGAAGAGCATCAGCCCTAGAGGAGCCTGGCGAGGGCGCTGGGTTCCAGGGACCAGGAAGGAGGCGGATGGACGCGGACAGGCCGTGAGGACGAGGGGGCAGCGGGCCCTGCAGGGGCCTGGCCCGGTCACAACGGCCCGACTGCCCTGACTGTCCCCATTCCGGGCCCCACCCAGCACTGGCCACCAGGGACTCGCGAGCACGAAGCGGTGCCTTTCCGGCAGTCAGCCTCTCCTCTTCTGCCACTTTTTCCGTCTCTCTTCTGCCTTTTTCTTAATAATCCCCGTGTCCTCTTCAGCCATGTCCTCTTCAGCCGAAGTTGTTCTCCTGCGGGTTCTTTATACTTATATCTAAGTTTCAAAAAATTTCTTTCCTGGGTTTGCTTAATGCCCCGTTTTACACTTCTTCCTTTTTGTTCACTTTGAAGTTTTTGATTTCTGATTTGAAACCCCTGTCTGTGGAGATGCATCAGAAAATTTTTATTCATGTTGGGTTCCATTTTCCATCTGCCGGGTTCTGCGCACTCAGGCTTTGGAGGTTCGGCTGAAGTGCGGTGATTTTCATTTTCTCTTTCTGATTGTAGCTTTGATTAGCTACATCTGCCCCTTTCTGTTGCATCTGCAAGGTCTTGTTTCTCCGCACTTCCGGTGCCAGATGAACGCAGAGGTGAAGGTTCGGGTTGCTTCCCGGTCAATAGCACCCTCTGCTGTCCACACGGAGAAGTACAGCTTCTCCCTTCCGGCTTCTGTACACTTTGCAAAACTACTGTGGAAGCTCAATATATGGGCAGAAATCTGCGAAGAGTGCAAACTTAGGAAATGGTCAATGCTTTTCCAGTTAATTTTATTTTATAGATTTATTTATTTATGCATACAGAACTGGGGTACAAAGCCAGAGGCTCAGGGACGGTGAGAGGATTCACTGGAGACAGAGTGGGGAGCAGAACAGGCGGATCGGCAAAGTACACTGCTGAGGGGAGCAGCGGGCGGGTCAGGAGAGGTCTGCCGCGCCATGTGGGTCACCTTTGGGGCAGAGATCGAACTCGCATTGAAGCGGCTGTAGTTAATTTGCAGTGCTGTGCCCTAACCCACTGCACCACCAGGGAGGGCCTTGAAATCTGATTTTTTTTTTTTTAGTCATATGGTATTTTTATAAATTAGCTTGGGAATATCGATACCTTGGTGAAGCTGGAGTTTCCTGTCCAAGAACATGATATATTTTTTATTAGTTCAAACCAACGTATGTGTCATTCAGGAGTGTTTTATAAGTTTCCTCATCCGGCTTTGGATACATGTTGTTAATCATACTTGGTATTTTATTTGCTTTCCAATATGAAGTGTCCTCTTCCATTGTATAGTCTAACTGTATTTTGCTTGTAAAATGAAGGCTAATGGTTTTTTAAAAAGTATTTTTTAAAAAGTACTTTAAAAAACCATTGTGAGTTAGAACAGAACACTTCTTAACTCATTCCCTGGGCCAGGATAGCCTAGCATCTAAATTAGACACAGACATGACAATAAAGCTATAGACTAATGTTCCTTACACATAGAGACACAAAGTGCCCCATCCGATCTAGCAAGTGCAGCTATGAAAGTGTTGCCACACCACACTGAAGTAGGTTTTATCCCCAGAATGCAGGATTAGTTTTCCATCCCCAAGTCAAGGCATCATACCAAAGCATAAAGGACAAAAAAACAAAACAAAAAACAAAAACAAAAAAACACACATGCATGGGAACATTGGAAAAAATTTGAAACTTGTGATAGAAAACATTCAGCAAACAGGACTGTGAGAAAACTTCTACCCTACAAAGGGCATCTGTAACCCACTGACAGCTAACACGGTCAGCTAACGCTGCTGAACAAGCTCCTCCTAAGAGTCACATGCACAGGATATCTGTTCTCATGGCTCCTGCTGAACTCTGGTCTGGAGGTCCTGGCGAGGGCAGTTAGGCAAGAGCGTGATCTGAACCCGGAAGGAAGAGGTAAAGTTGTCTCTGTTTGCAGATGACATGACCTTTATATATGGAAAATCCTAAAGAATCTGCTAAAAAAACCCTGCTAGAATCAGTGAATGGATTCCTGCTTTCTGTAATGTTGTGGGCATAGTAGGCACTCATTTAAAGGCTGGGCAGGGAGGTGCAGAGTGAGGGCGGGGAGATGGCTGGGCAGCTGGTGGAGAAGAGGCTGGACAGAGGGCTGAGTCCAGCAGCAGAGGGCGGGTGGCTGAGAGTAGCCAAGGGACCAGCAGAGGCGGATGGCGAAATGACTTTCCTGCTCACTGCCTCGTGCCCTTGCTTCTAGCTTCGGGCAGCAGAGGTGGAGATCAAAGACCTGCAGTCGGAGTTCGAGCTGGAGAAGATTGACTATCTGGCCACCATCCGTCGGCAGGAGCGCGACTCTCTGCTCTTCCAGCAGCTCCTGGAGCAGGTGCAGGCTCTGATTCGCAGGGACTGTAACTACAGCAACCTGGACAAGATCCGGCGGGAGTCCTGCTGGGATGAAGATAATGGCTTCTGGAAGATTCCTGAGCCCCTCATCATGAAAACCAGCCTCCCAGTAGGTCAGGAGCTTGGCTGTGCCTTGACCCTCCCTGCCCTCCTCCACAGTCTGCCCCTTACCGACTGACAGGGAGACACGGGCCTCACCCTGCTGCTTGTGGGGGCAGCAGACACATGACCTGGGCCCCAGAACATGGGGACTTGAGAACATGGTGTATTCTGGACCCAGACATGGGGGTTGGGGTTCTGGCGCCCTCTCCCCCCCCCACCCCGTGTGACTCAAGGACTGAGCGTCCTCATCTGTGAAGTGGGAGTTAATGGCAGCGCCCTCCTTAAAGGTGACTTAAAATGTGTCACGTATTATAGCCTGTAGCTCCTGGCGCATCGTAGGTGCTTGGTACATCTGTCACTATCAGGGTTGCCACTGAGTAATTACGGTGTATAGTTCCATCTCATAACAGCCCAGCGATGGGCCAAGATCACCCCATCTGCGGAAACGGCACCTCGGAGACGGTGGCTCCCCAAGGTCACAGTCTGGCCGTGGTTGTAGGGCCAGGGGTGGAATCCGCAGCTCAGCGTCCTGGCCTGGGTCAGCTGAGTGTCCCTGCCTTCCCCTGGGCCCCGATCCCTGACCCTCACTGACCCTCACTGAGGAAGGTTGCTAGGTCGAAGGTCCCTCCGCCTCCGTGGTGTCGGGGCGCATCTGCAGGGCTGCTCCTGCGCCCAGAGTGGGTTCTGCGCCTCACACAGCCGCGTGCTCTCAAGCACTGTGCTCCCCGTCCATCCTCCCTGCCAGATGTGCTCCTCCGGGTCTGACACCTCCCGTGTGTCTGGACAGCCACTGACACGCCAGGCGTGCCCACAGCTCCGGGCAGCAGCGGCCTGTCTCCTGCTCCCGCCAGCCTGCTCTCGTCTGCAAGCAGGGGAGTGGCTGCCTTGGCGTCTCAGTCCTCCAGCTGCCTCCCAGAGCCACACCCCTTGCACCGGACGTGTCCTCCCCTGGCTCTGAGCCATGCCAGACCCCCAGCCTGGGGAGCGGCCTCTGTCCTGCATGCCAGGCCGCAGTGACTTCAGCTCTTGTTTTCTCGTAGCAGTTTCCGCAGGGCCACAGAACAAACCAGCCCGCAGAGCCTCTGCTGTGGACGGCAGCGAGCCAGGCGTGGTGAGTCCCTCCGAGCTCGAACACAGAGTGCGGCCCGTGGGCCTGTCGGTCAGTGCAGTGGGTCTCCGGGGAACTGGACTCTGGGGAACTGGGCTTCTACTGTCATCCACCTAAGGATTAACACCGGGGCTGAGCCTGGATCCTTTCTGAGTTACTTGGATGGGGCCTTCATTCCAAGGCGCTTTTTCATAAAGCCCAGGAGAATGCTGATGGACAGGGCCCCTCCTGCCTCAGCCTCAGTCCCAGACGCAAGCCGCACACTGGTTCCTGGGGCCCCGGCCGGTGTCCTTGGATTACAAGGGTTTGGAAAGTATCCATTAAATAGTAATTGGGACTCTGAAGTCACTGTTTTTCTGTTCCCCATGTTTTATATTTAACAGATCTATATATCCTTAAAGTGCAGGTCAGCAAACATTTCCATCAAGACCAGATGGTGAATATTTTAGGCTTGGGGACCTGTCTAGCTGCTCAGTGCACCTTCATGGCACAAAAACTGCCTGCGAAGATGTGTCAGTGAGCAAACATGGCTGTGTTCCAATAAAACTTTATTGACAAAACAGTCAGTGGGCCTGGCTCACAGGCTGTAATTTGTTGATTCCAACTTAAAAACCTTCATTTCAGAAAAGCTACACAGAACATATCTTCCTAATGCTGATAAGCTCACTCCTAGTTGAATGAATTCCAGATATCTCTGAGCAAGGCAGGGGATGTTAGCTGGCCTTCACCTCTGGTTGGCTGCTTTTAATAGCTTAACTTGGGAAAAAATTGTTCCTGGAAAACTTTCTTAATCCAGGACCACCAAAGGTTTACATTAGAATGTTTTTAGTTTCAAGTAATACATAACCCTCAGCAAGTAATCATAAGCAAATGGGAAATGTACTGGCTCATGTTAAGTGGGCACTTTTCAGGCATGACTGGATCTAGGGATTCAAACCATTGGGGTTCTATTTTTTTAATGAAAGATTTATTTATGCATGCAGAATTGGGGTACAGGCCAGACTTGCAGGGGCAGTGAGAGGATTCACCAGAGATAGTGGGGAGCAGAACAGGCAGATGGACAATGGCAGAATGAGGGGTGCATGATGGTCCTGCCAGGACCACATCAACTGGGAGAAAGAACCCTTGACGGCTGTGATTCGGGCTGAAGGAAACAGATCTGTGCAGCAGACTGGAGAAGTAATGGTGCGTGGTGACAGAAAGGTTGGCTCTCCTGGTCTCTTGCTCACAAATGTACCCAGGAGTCTCAGTGGCTCTCTGCCCGCCAAGATGAGCATGAGGCAGGTGGTATCACCCTGACCCCAGTCGGAGCGGACAGGTACCCTGTGCCGAGCTTTGCAGGAGGGAACTAGGTGCCTTCTCCTACCAAGGAAGAGGGTGGCAGGGAAGGCTTTGCTCAGACTGACCCCCTTGCCCCAAGATGCCCGGACGCCACCCCAGGAGTCAGGTGTATATAATAGGGGAGATCAAACTGGGCAGTGGGCTCAGGACGGCCCCACCCCAGCAGGTTAAGGGCTCAGGTAAGAACTACACACGCAAGGTGCATTGACCTATAAGGATTTCGAATCTCAGCAGGAAGAAGACCGCTACAAGCTGATGCTCAGCCGGAGTGACAGTGAAAACATCGCGAGTAACTACTTCCGGTCGAAGCGGGCCAGCCAGATCCTCAGCTCAGACCCCATGAAGAGCCTCAGTGAGTGTCCTGCCCACCTCCTGTCCTCCTGCCCCTCTGAAGAGCCCTTCTGGCTACTGGCCACTGGGAGAGGCATGCAGGACTCACATAGGCTGAGTTCTAAACCCTTCCCTGCTCTGAGCCTCAGTTTCATCAACTGTTCATCAGCAGGAGGGTGGTAACACCTGCTTCTCAGGTGTTGCTGAGAGGCGGAGGGGAAGGGCCCAGCCCAGGGCCTGGCACGCACAGCCAGTACACAGTACACAGCTCCCCTCTCCTCCACCCCTTGGCTGCTGGGGTGTTTCCCCTGACACGCACAGGATGCCCCCCCTGTTCGGGCCCTGCACTGCTGCCCCCCAGCATCCTCAGATGCCAGTATTGTGGGTTTCCCCAAGTGAGCCTGGGGGGCTGAACAGAGCCACAAATGTAACACACACTTTATTTATTTACTTATTTATGCATTCAGAACCGGGGTACAGGCCAGAGACAGAGTGGGGAGCAGAACAGGCAGATTGACGAAGTACACTGCTGAGGGGAGCAGCGGGCGGGTCAGGAGAGATCTGTGCCATGTGGATCAGTTCCAGGCCCAGGGGTCGAACTCATGCTGTAGTGGCTTCGGAGAGCTTCCGAATGCGGTGCTTGAACCGTTGCACCACCAGGGAGAGCCTAGTAACACACACTTTTCAAAGCAAGGATCACAAATCACTTCATCCTTCTACTTTTAAAAAACCAAAGGTCACAGAGCTCCCAATAAAATAGCAATGAAAAGAAAGTCTCTGTAATCCACTGAGGTTATTTAAGAGGCAAGGGATGCTGCTGAGAGAAAGCAGGCAGGAAGGAAACCAAGCTCAGTTAATTCTGGCTGCTGTGCCCGGCTGCAGGTGAGGAGACCGAGGCTTAGAAGTGGCTGCCAAGGAAGTGGCACTCGGCTTCGGCCTGGGCTGGTCTGGGCTGAGCCCCTGGCTGCCTCGGCCTGGGCCTTGCGAACTCCAAACTTCCAGCTCAGATTGATGGGGTGCAGATGGGGTGCCAGGTCTGGGCTTCAACAACCAGAGCAGCTTCCCAGAGCTTGGAGACCAAAGCCCCTGGCCGGCGGGGTGGGCTGGGCCGCAACTCCACACTGGCTCACCACTTCTCCTCTTCTCCACAGCGCGTCACAACTCGCCGCCAGGCCTCAGCTCCCCACTCAGCACCAACCCTGCCATCCCACCCACCCAGGCCCCCGAAATGCCACAACCCCGGCCCTTCCGCCTCGAGTCCCTCGACATCCCCTTTGCCAAGGCCAAGCGTAAGAAAAGCAAAAGCAGCTTTGGTAGTGAGCCTCTGTGAACAGTGCCGGCTGCTGCCCCGCCTGGGCTTTCGTGACTCCCCCAGGCCAGCCCCAGCAGGCTCCCCCACCCGCCCCCACAGGTCTGGGGCCAAGGCAGCCTTACCCTGAAAAGACATCTTCCCTTCCCTGTTCCCCAGAGAGCCCACTTCAGCCCAGGGCCACCCGAGGCTGGACTGTCGTCCTCGGAGAGGCCTGCACCGGCTCTCCACACCACGTCAGTGTTTCTATCCGCTCGCCTGCCACAGAGCCCGCCGTCTGTGCTCACCGATGCTGCCCTGCCCCCAGGCCTTCACCAGCAGCCCTGACAGTGGGCCACAGCATCCATGTAGATCAAGCTCAGCATGCTGGTGATCGAAGTTGTGCCCCCTTCCTGGGTGAAGCCCTGGGGGCAGGGCAGTGTCCTGGAACAACTGCCCCCTACTGCCTGCTCCTGGCTGGCTGCGGCCCAGAGGCACACATTAAGCTGCCCCAATAAACTGCCTTTTCTGACCAGTGCCCCTCCCCTGGTCTTCTGAACACACCCCGCTGCCTGGCCTTTAAGGAGCTTACTGGAGTGGGGTCCTTTACTGCCTGGTACTTTTAGAACAAGCAGGCTCCAGGGTTTCTGCGGCTCCCTGTCACTGTGAGTACAAGAACACTTTTCTGGGGGAGAGCATTTGAACTGTCATTAGATTCTCAAAGGATCCACCATCCAGGAAAACCAAGTCCTTGCTGAGGCCCAGAGAAGGTGCAGGCTGACAGCCCCAGAGGGGCACTGGAAAGGGGTATCTGACATCGCCAGGAGGAATCTGGACCACCCCAGGTACCTAGGACACATGCCTCTGCCTGTGTGGCCCAAGCCTGCCCTGTGGAAGAGGCCCCTAGTCTCTGGGGGAACTTGGCCTTTGTCTTAAGCCTCCTTTCACTTCCATCTGTGAAAATGTGGACAACACCCTCCCCACAGGTGCCTTGTGCAGATTGTAAATGAGGTGGCCTTTAAGTACCATGTGAAGCAGGTGCTGTTAGCCCCTTTATTCCTCTCCTCCATGTTTTGTAATCCTACATTGGTGGGGGCCAGAAGCCACATTTCCGGGGAAGGCAAGCTCTGGAGCAGGTGAGGTGGAGGGTGCTTAGGTAAAGACAGATCTAATTAGAGGCAGGCCGCAGAGAGGGAGCAAGCTCAGCCCTGCTGTGGTGGTGGGGGGTTTGGCAGGGGAGGTAGAGGTTAAGTGCCTGTGTAATGGGAGCATCATTGGGCTGGAGCCATAAAGGAGGTGGCAGACTTCCCATGGGAATGTGGGGCAAGGTGGGGCAGCACCTCCTGGTAGTGGGAGCTGCATGAGCCAAAGTCAGGGGGTGCGAAAGTTCAGGGCGCTAAGGGGAGCAGGGCCTTTTGTTCCAGGGGAGCCCTGAGCAGGGAGCGAGAGGAGGTGGACGCCAGATGAGTTATAGCTCCTTCAGGTGTTCCTAAAGCACTTGGGTTGCACCATCAGGTCTGACTGCGGTGGGCTGGCCTGAAGGTGTGTGCAGAAAGGAGGGCTGGGCTGCCCTGCAGGAAATGGGGACTTAAGCTGGGGGTAAGGGGTGCAGACTGATGCCGCAGGGAGGTTTTGATTCTTGCTTCCTCATTCTTGACTTGGTGGACTAGTGTAAAAAGGTCTCAAAAGAACCTTCTCTCTCCACCATTACCTTTACCGTTTGTCACTCAGTCCCGCGGTGGGACTGAGCCAGGTGTGAGGTGGCCAGGTGGCCCTGTAACAGCTCCGAAGGGATCGGAACCGGCAGGACTGAGTGGATGGTCAGACTTGACCTGCACTATGCACTTCTTAACCCGCGCCAGTTGTCCCGAGAGCCAGGCTGTTGCAAAGCACAATTGTACCAGGTAAGTAGCAGAGGCGGACCTCGCCACTGTTTCTTTTTCCAGCCTGGGAAAGTGGCCTGCAGGGAAGTAAAACGCCCAGAAACTGGCTAGTGACAGACGGAGCTTGGACGTGGACCCAGATGCGGCTTCTCGACCGCTGCCAGGCCCGCGCCGCGCGTGGGCCCGAGAACGGCCGGAGACACTAGCGCGTCTGAATTTTCCGCTCTCCTCTTCCCTGGAGAGGCGGCCTGGTTCCCAGCCTAGACTAAGTGCACCCAGGAGGCCACAGCGCCCCAGACCCGGTCCAGATCGCGACGGTCTACGTCACCGCGTAGCCGGTAGAGGGACGCGCACCCAGGCTCCGGGCGGAACCAAAGGCCTCTCGGCTTCGTTGATTGGCGCTGGCTGCAGAGCTGTCTCTCTGGGATTGAGTCTTTTCCTGTGGGGAGGCGGAGCTTCCCGCTCCTTCCGCCAATAGCGCTCAGAGACTCCGCCTCCATCCCGGTCACTTCCGGCGGTGCTCCCGGCTCCTAACCGCGCAAGCTACGTCCCTCGACGCTCGACCCCGGTGAACGCGGACCACTTCCGGGTTATACTCCAACATCGCGAGCTGCGATTGGACGAACATAGGAGCCACTTCCGGCGCCCAGGTGCTTTGGCTCTGGCTGGAGGAGGAAGATGGAGCTCTGTGCTGCAGCCCGCGCTTGGTCTCTGTTCTGGCTGCTGCTGCCCTTGCTTGGTGGAGCCTGCGCCAGCGGCCCCCGCACCTTAGTGTTACTGGACAACCTCAACCTACGGGAGACGCATTCGCTTTTCTTCCGAAGCTTAAAGGGTGAGACCGGGGTCCCAGGGGGCGGCGGGGTGAGAATCTGGCGTTGCAGGAGCGCCCTGGCCGCCCGCCCTCCTACTCGTTCTCCCTCAGCGGGCCGCCCACGTCTAGCCTGCAGCTCGAGGGAGGCGGTCGAGGTCTCGGCAGGGGTGACGTCCCTTCGCATGCCCCCTGCTTCAGCTTCCTGTCTTCTGTCTTTTTCCAGATCGGGGTTTTGAACTCACTTTCAAGACGGCGGATGACCCCAGCCTGTCCCTCATTAAGTACGGGGAGTTCCTTTATGACAATCTCATCATCTTCTCTCCTTCGGTTGAAGGTAAGGACCGCGCGTCGCCAGAATCGGGATCCGCGGCCCGGCATTGATTGGTTGGCCGCCTGAATTTTGGGCGTATTCTGGATTATGGCATGGGTCGCCAGCCCTGGTCGCTGCCATGCCAGAGAAGAGGGAAATGTTCGTGTCTAACGTGGGCCCAGGAGCGCACGTCTCCTCTCTGAATAGCTGGCGATTGTGGGGTCGTGTTGACACCTTTGCGAAGGGAGTTTGTAAAGGGACTGGCGGGAAAGATGGAGGTTACCCCTGTTGGGTGTGCTGTATGCTGTGTGGAAAGAGTGGTGTACTGTTAGTGCGGCTTCCTGTAAAGAGGCGGTGTGACGCCCCGTTTGGGTCTGGACAGGCTTGTCTAGGGCGTAGTAGGGAACTAGTTGTTGAGCAGAACAAACATCTTGTTTAGATTATTCAGTTGTGAATTATTTCTGTGATAGAAAACTTGCTACCTTTTGAGACAATCCACTCTGTGGCTGGACACCTATGAGAAGCGCTGAGATGAACTTCCGCTTTTGTTTATTTGGGGGTGGGAGTGGGGAAGGAGGTACTTCCCAGGGTCTTTGAGACTAAGTGTAATGCTTATTTACGGAGGCATAGGCTTCACAATGTCATGACTGATTTACATTTTTTTTTTTCCTCCAGACTAAATATCTTTGGTTCTTTTGTTGTGTGGTTTTTATTTTTTTGCGGGGGGGGGGGGCAGATTCCTAGTTATTCACCTTGGGCGGAGTTTCAGTTTTATCTTTGTCTCAGAAGGCCTAAGTCGTTCCTGTCTGGGGTAAAACCACACCCCCATCTTTGCTGTCAGTCGAAGTTTTGGAGATTTTTGCTTTGTTGGCAGCCACTTTATTTTCTGCAGTTGATGAAAATTGAGTGAGCCAGTTTTCATGACAGTTGTGTTTGGAACTCTGAAATAGGGACTGGACGATGACAGAGATACGCCCATTTGTTTTTGAGGAAATAAAAAGGAGGATTTGGAATGAGATGCCAAAGCCCATGTTGGGATGCCCATGGTGGAGTGGGGGGCACGACCAGGTTGTGCTCAGGCATTGGCCTGAGAGGAGGAAGGAGCTGATGGGTGAGACGGACTGGGCGAAGGTTGGAGCGGGCTGCGTGGTGTTGTGCCCGCAGACACAGGGCAGCTTCTCTGTTGACTGGGCTCAGGGATAAAGGAGAGTCTGGAGCGCTCAGTGGCTTTTTCAGGCTTTAATGCTCTTTCTATGCCAACTGGGGGGTGAGCCCGAAGGCTGGCAGCCTCCCAGCCCCCAGCGATTCTGTTCTCTTTCGGCTTGCGCCTGTGTCCTTTCGTGTCCTGCCCCTGTAGCCACTTGTCCTCTCGCAGCTTCCAGGTAACCGCTCTCGTCTCTGAATGGCGCCGCCCTTATGAACTCCGCTCTCAGCTCAGGTGCGCCCACTTACGCTCGCACACACTCCAGGTGTTCACCGACAGGCACTGTGACCCCCGCCACGCTCCCAAGCCCTGCTGCATTCAAGGCCGCAGGGGACAGCCACAGAGGCTGATGGCCTGAAAGCCTGACCACTTCACTTACGCTGCATGTCGGGGAAAGCCGAAAGCCGTCTCGCACATCCAGGCCATTTCTGGATCCCCTTTACATACCGCCTGTGCTGTGCTTGCATAGTGCTTTTCTTTAACTCGATCCACTTAGAAAAAACTGAACATCTTGAAGGGGGCCAGTAAATGAAGTCAGTACAGCCGCTGGAACCGGAGGGCCGGAGTCACCACGTGCGTCAGTAGCAGCGGGTAATGCCGCGCTGGCCAGGTGCTGGCCTGCTGAGCGGGGGGGCTGACAGCCTCCTGACGGAGTTGATTAGCTGTTGTGAGATAAGTGGTAAAGTCTGGCATCAAACTGTGACCTTGCTGATGAGGAAGCCTGAGGCGTCATTGGAAAAGGGGATCACTTTATCTGAAACCCTCTGTTAACGAAAGCCCTGGCCCACATCACCTGGCTTTTTTTGCCCTTAGTGGTCTGGGTTCTAGGCTTCGGATAACGCTGCCACAGGAAATCCTCCTGGGCACTGTTGGGGAGAAGCTTGTGTCTGCTGGAGGCATGTCTGTGTCTGTGTGTGGTGGGCGGGGGCGGGGGCTTAGGGTAAAGGCTTCTGCTCCGAGCCCTCTCAGGTGTGACAACGCTGGCCCAACTTTTTTCTCCCACTTACAGACCCAGTAAATTCCTGAGCACTCCTTCCACTTTATGTTGAACATTGGGGTACACTTTGGGCAAACTCCTGAGCTTACAGAAGTTCTCAGTTCTAATTAATTCTGGATGCTTCTGGCAGTGAGCCGATTGGAAGGGTTGACCAGAAAAGGGGATCATCTAACAATTAAACGTTGGAAATTCAGCACACTTGGTCTGCTAAGTGCTTGGGTCATGGCTACCGTGACTATAATCTGTTGGGTGAAATGGGAGTTACTCGTGTTAGGCAAGTGGGTACTAGTATCAGGGGACAGCATCACCCAAAGATTCAAAAGTGCTCCCTCTCAGACAGCTTAGGTGGAAGTGAAACTGGGGGGCACTGGAAAAAAAACTTGCTGACTCCCTCCCATAACTCTGGTGATGACAAAAGATGCTGACGTGAAAGTTGCAGTTGATAAGTTTGCATGTGATTTCCTGAAGTATGACGGGGTGGAGACCGCATTCGTGACGCCTGGTCACTAACTTGACCGCTATGGTTGGTAGATGTTTGACTCGCTCACAACTGATTTCTCATATCTGGGCACCCGGTGAATTGCCCTCTCACTGGCGCATGTGGTTAAGACCCTCCCCTAGGGGCCTCAGGGGCTGCTGGCCTGTGGTGACGGCAGTTACTCTGAAGTTTCCCTCACCTCCACCCACAAATGTCAGAGGGGCGCAAGAGCAACCTGGGGGTCACTGAGCCTCGTGCTTCTTGCAGACTTTGGAGGCAACATCAACGTGGAGACCATCAGTACCTTCATCGACGGGGGCGGCAGTGTCCTGGTCGCTGCCAGCTCAGACATCGGTGAGTCTGACCCCGCAGGGGCTTGAAGAGCTCTGGCGGAAACTGCCCCGCTGTGCCCCCAGGCAGAGTTTGGCCAGGGAGGGGCCTCTGCTGGCCCATGGGCACAGCGAGGGGGACCTTGTGTGTGTGTGTGTGTGTTTTCCGTGGGTTGGTTTGACTTTTGGTAGCCGTTAGAGGAGAGGAAAACAGGTGGGCAGCTGGTGGGGCAGGGCATGGCCACAGATTGGTTCCATCTGGGGCCTTTGCACAGACGCTTAGCAGGGCAAGAGCAGGCCTGTGCACGGGCTTGGCCCCCACTGCACGACAACTCTGGCCAACCTTGTGCCTTCCCCATGGTGCTGACAGATTTTTAAAACCTTACTGGGCAGGCTTCTCGGTGGGGTGATAATGAACTGAGAGAACCCTGTAAGCCTCGGCTCATCTGGGTCACGCGTGCCTGAGGTAGCTGTGCTTTGCAGGGGTTTTTGCACCGAACTGAGGTCACTAAGCATTTGTAGAGGGCCAGGAGGCTGTTTTTGGTTAACTGACCCTGTAGGTAGAATGCCAGGTGGCGGCCCAAGGGACCCTCTGGGGCAGGGGCCTTCTCAGTGAATCTGTGGGGCTTTTGGGGCATCTGGGAGTTGTGCCAGGACACAGCTTGTCCCAGGGCCCCCGCAAGGGCTCAGCCAGCCACCCCTTGGGTCTGTGCAGGTGACCCACTTCGCGAGCTGGGCAGTGAGTGTGGGATTGAGTTTGACGAGGAGAAGACAGCTGTCATTGACCACCACAACTATGACGTCTCAGACCTTGGCCAGGTAATGAGGCCTTTAGCCACCGAGGCTTGAGGCCCTTAAGCAGAGCCCAGCCTGGACCCAGCCTGGTTGTGGACTCTCGTCCTGAAACCTGTCTGTCCCCTGCCCTTGCAGCACACGCTCATTGTGGCCGACACTGAGAACCTGCTGAAGGCCCCGACCATCGTGGGGAAGTCCTCCCTGAACCCCATCCTCTTTCGAGGTGTTGGGTGAGTGAGCAGCGAGAGGCCAGCAGAAGCTGCGGGAAGAGGGGATTACTTCTGTTCTCAGGAAAGCAGCCTGAGCATGATTATTTGGGGGCATCCTTCCCCCCAGCGGCTGTGGACGAGATGACGTCACTATCACAGCAGGATTACTTGGGGGCGATGGAGGAAGGAGGCAGGTTCATCCCTGTGAAGACTCTTTGGAGACCCCGGGTCCTTTGGGCTCAGTTCCTGGGGTCAGCAGCAGGCAACACTTTTCTTCTGCAGGATGGTGGCTGACCCTGATAACCCTCTGGTCTTGGATATCCTGACAGGCTCATCCACCTCTTACTCCTTCTTCCCGGATAAACCTATCACCCAGGTGAGGGGTCATTGCAGCCCCGAGGGCTCTGGGCCCAGTAACTGCACGGCACTGTTTTGTGTGAAGCTGGTGACCTGAGGAGTGGGGGGAGTGGGCAGAAGACCATACTCTCGGGGCGAGGTGGTCAGTCTGGCCTGCCGTCCGCCTGCCCTTTACGTGGCAGCCCTTGGATGACAGCCCTTCTCGTTCCCAGTATCCTCATGCGGTGGGAAAGAACACGCTCCTCATTGCCGGGCTCCAGGCCAGGAACAATGCTCGGGTTATCTTCAGTGGCTCTTTGGACTTCTTCAGCGATGCCTTCTTCAACTCCGCAGTGCAGAAGGCCACGCCCGGCTCCCAGAGGTAGGCTGCTGGGCCTCTGGCCTGTGTGGTCCGTTCTGTACAGCTGGGTGGAAGGAGCTATTAGGGGTCATAAATTATTCAGAGACTTTGTTGCTATTGCTGGAGTTGGCCCTGCGAGCTTTTCAAGAGATCAGGGACTTACTGAAGCCATTATGAAAAGTGGGTATTTACATGCAGAAGACACCCAAGACAGCGCCACCTCACACTGCTTCATTTTTTGTGTGTGTGTGTTCCCTTCAACCAGATACCTAGATGCATGGCCTCGGGCGGGTTGAGCAGTTTGTCCCGGGGGCCAGTGCTTAGTCTTGCTTATGGGGCCCATGGAGAGCCAGCGGGTGCTCTTGCCGTTCTCTCCCTGCAGGTATTCCCAGACAGGCAACTACGAGCTAGCTGTGGCCCTCTCCCGCTGGGTGTTCAAGGAGGAGGGTGTCCTCCGTGTGGGCCCTGTGTCCCATCATCGGGTGGGCGAGATGGCCCCACCCAACGCCTACACTGTCACGGACCTTGTGGTAAGAGCTGCGATGTGAGGGCCCCCAGTTTTGGCCAAGTTGCTTCAGCTCAGAAGCACTTATTAGACACTGAGATGTTGGGCCTGAGGGACCTGTGCGAGGCTGATGTGGTTGCTGGGCACCTGGCGGAAAACTGCTGGCCTCTTTGGAAGCCTCCTTTGAAGGGGCGTGGCTTGGCTGTGGGAGTGGGACTCACAAGAGAAGCGGCATTTGAATGGGGTCTCGAGAGTGCACCTGCCAGGCAGCAGCAGTGACTGCAGAGCCAGGGTGCCGAGGGGCGGGATGGCTTCGGGGCGCCCTAATGGGCCTGGGGGGCAGCCGGTGGGTGGCACCCTGCAGGCCCCCACCGCCCCAGCTCACTGGCCTCTGACCTCAGGAGTACAGCATCGTGATCGAGCAGCTCTCAAATGGCAGGTGGGTCCCCTTTGATGGTGATGACATTCAGCTGGAGTTTGTCCGCATCGACCCCTTCGTGAGGACCTTCCTGAAGAAGAAAGGTGAGCGCGTGCTCAGCGCAGGACAGCTCTGCCTGGCGCACGGGGCTGGCAGCAGTCGGCCCTGGTGACCGGCCACCTCCTCCCCAGGTGGCAGATACAGCGTGCAGTTCAAGCTGCCGGACGTGTACGGCGTTTTCCAGTTTAAAGTGGATTACAACCGGCTGGGCTACACGCACCTCTACTCCTCGACCCAGGTAAGCGCAGGTCGCCGCCTGCCCGCGCCCTGTGCCCCGCCTGGCTTCCCAGCGGCCAGGCCCACCACGCCGTCCCGTTGCAGGTGTCAGTGAGGCCACTGCAGCACACGCAGTACGAGCGCTTCATCCCCTCGGCCTACCCCTACTACGCCAGCGCCTTCTCCATGATGGCGGGGCTCTTCATCTTCAGCATCGTCTTCTTGCACATGAAGGAGAAGGAGAAGTCCGACTGAGGGCCGGGCCCTGGACTGCCGCAGGAGACGAGGGTGTGTAGTGGCATCCGGAGTTGTTCCCTCATGGTGGGTTGTTTGTTTTTTTGTTTTTAACTTTTTATAAGCCGTGGGACAGTGGCACAGCCTTACCTCAGCAGGAGATGCAGCACGAGAACCGAGGCGCGGGCCCGGGGAGTAACCTTCATGTTGGAGTTTAAGTGGTATTTTTTGTACGTGCGGTCACTCTCATTTCTAAAATAAAGAGAAACATCGCCCTCAAACTTTATCTGGCCCTGGTGGTGCTTTACTCACGGTGGGGCGGCTGAACATTATGGCCTGATAGATGATAATTTTGTCGAAGACTGGACTATTGTTTTCTTAAATTATGAAGTGAGAGTCTCTTAGTTTACCGCAAGGGAGAAAATAAGTCAAATGGGATATCTGGGGGAGACTTTATAGTAGAATTTTAGAACTGCTTGGTCGCAACACCTTAAATATGTTTTTGATTTTTGCCACCAGGTACAGATAAAATTTGTGTTTTATTTGTTGGTTCTAAAATCATTCCAAGAAGAATCTCCTCTTTACTTCTTTATGGTGTGAGTCGCTCTTAAAGCTGGTGCTCAGCTCCAGGCACCCCACTTTCTGCATTTCTAAATTCACCACCCCTGCTGGTCAGGAGGAAAGCTTCACGTTTGAAACACCTCACTGTGAATGTTGTCGGTCGCTTTGCTCTGCTGGACTTCAGTGCAGCTGGAGGAACCTGGGGCAGAGGTTTCTCAGAGGCCTCGCTAGAGCTGTGCCCCAACGCAGCGCGGAGCGCCCCGCTTCTCGGGCCGGTTGGTCCATTCCGACCCTGGCACGTGAAGCTGTGCCGACGTCTGCCTTGCTTGGGTCACAGGCAGATGGGTGTTGTGGCTGCTTTTCAGAAACCCAGGTTCCCCCTGGGGTGGGCACAAGTTACAGTCTCGCTCTTCCACTTACGGCGCCTGCCCGTGCCTGGCTGCTGGGCTTGCTCCTGGGAGCACGGGTCCGCCTCCCCCCAGTGCACCCTCAGCCAGCAGCTTCTCAGAGGTCTGAGAGGCGTGTCTGCAGGTGATTCTGGCTGGCAGCCCGAGGGTGACAGCGCACCAGTGCTGGGGACTTGTCATGTCTTTTCATTTGTGTGCAGTTCTGACCATTGTTTCCAGCATCGCTGCCTGAGAGGCCTGATAGCGAGTTTAAGAGTTAGGCCTTTGTAGTTATCTAGACCAGGGGTTGGCAGTCTGGTCTAAAAAAAGGCCCGCTGCATAGTCTGAAGTTAAACATGCTTTCTGTGTTTACTGGTTGAAAAATTAAAAGTGTACTACTGACACATAAAATTCAAATTTCGGTGTCCCTAAATCAGGTTTATTGGCACAAGGCCACACATCCTCTTACAGAGCTGGCTGCTTTGTGCCATAATGTCAATGTTGAGTAGTCAAGATAGCCAGAAGTAATGTCTAGCTGGCCCTCTACAGAAATTCACATTACAGGTGAGAGAACTTTAGTCCTCACAAGTAGTTACACATGTACCAGACTCACTCAGCTCGCTAACAGACTACAGATTCTGACTCAAGCTGTTCTTTACACTTGCAAAACCTGAAGCCTTCTCCAGGCAGCCCAGCCCACTCTGCGACATCTTTCTCCTGACTCTCACCCTCACACATGGGAGCGGCTCCCTCACCTTCCTGGACCCTCATGACATAGGTACAGCGCAAGCTCTTCAGTAATTCACCAGCCACGTCAGCGCCATCACGGGGCCGCCCTCCAGGAGCAGAGCAGCAGTACGGCCTGGCACAGCGTTTCACACTCCAGGTTGGCTAGAAACAACATCTTCATCTTTGTTTCCACACAGCTCTTCTCTGTGAGCCTGTCAGCCAGCAAAGTGGCAGCCGATTGTTGCAGGAGCCAGCTGACCATCTTGTCTAGTTTCAGGTTCTTCAGGGCTAGAATACGTTCACCCCAGAGGCTTAAATGAAGCACATTAGCAGCTACACGGGCAGATGGTCTCTGCAACAGGAAAGGAAGCTGCAGCTGAGAACATCTGTGACAAAGCAGTTGGCCTACAACCAGCTTTGTTAATGAGACTCCTCATTTTAGGGTTTTCCCTTCTCGAGCCCCCACCAAATTCTTAGCCCACAGTTCTCTGATACCCTCCGCTCCCCTGACACTAGTGCCCTGCCCACGTTCACACCTGCCTGCAGGGCGAGCCCTGGTCTGTCCGCCCTTTCGCTAAGCATGCTGCGTGAGCCTGGCCAGCCGCTGATGCGGCTTCAAATGTTTAGCTTCCTTTAGTAACTGGAAACATCCAGATCTGTGCTTGGGACATGTGTTCAGGCCTACCTGTCATATGAGATTCGGCAGTTTCCGTAAGCTGCGTCTCCATTGTATGTGTCTTTAAAATGCATCTTTTCCCTGTGCGTAACTTAAGCAACGAGGACGAACGGGAGGGCTAGAATTCTAATCCTGTGGTTATCTCTCCTACTGTTCTTGAGTCTATTTTGTTCTCTGTCCTTGGTCGTACACGGCAAGACAGAGGCGCTCTGTGCCACTAGAGCTTGTCCAAACCTGATCTTTCCCCCAGCACCCGACCCCTGCCACACCGGGGCCAGCCGCACCTTGCTGGCTTCCCGCTGAAGCAGCGACCTCACAAGGCGGCTGGCATCTGGAGGCGCTGACTCGGGCAGTGCAGGCAGCTGGGCTTCTTGGTAACTGCGGCTTTCAAGGTGGGTCCTGCCCTGGCCATAAAATGGATTGGCGAGCCCGAAGATTTCGTAGGCGAGCGCTCCCACTGCCCAGACATCGGCCTTGCTGTAGTCAATCACCACTCTCGGGCCAGGGCAGGCCGTGGACACCTGCCAGGAAAGCCGTGGGTGAGCACTGAGGCGGCTGGTGTCAGGTGGTCTTGCAGACTTCTGCAGGCACCTGACTCATGGGCTAAGCTGAACTCTGTCCCAAGGAACCCAGAATTTGAGTGAGTTGTGGCTCAGCCCCAGAAAAATCTGCTCATGTTGCATTCTTTGCTGACAAAATTCACATCTCCTGGGAACATTAGGGAGATCCAGGTTAACGCAAAGCATAGCAAGGGACCTGTGCCAGATTATGGCAAGCACAGAGTATTTAGTAAACAACGAGGCAGCAAGTCTCAATCACTTAGTGGGAAGGAGGTGGGCGCGACGCGCTCAGTGGGACTCACCTCGGGAGCCATCAGGCAGCCGTTTCCGCCCCGATCCACATACCAGCTGTTAAATGGCAGCTGCAGGCCAATGCGCTCGTCAGCCAGACAGCAACCGAAGTCAGCGATCACCAGCCAGGGGCAGCCGTCTGGGCGGGGCAGGCACAGGTCAGTGGCGGCTTCTTCCCCCTCCCCCCACACCTCCGAGGGCCCATGTCCCACCCCTTACCAGGATGTGTGTGGAGTGGGGAGCAGGGGCTCTACTGGCTTAGGGGCTTTGGCAGCAAGGCCTGGGGAGCCCACGGGCCAGAGAGCTGAATGGGAGGGGCAGCTGTCTGAACATAGAAATACTTTGAGGGAATTAAAGCCCCTAAGCAGAGATCTGGATAATTTTCCAGTAACTGGAGCTGGGCCAAATCCAGTGGAGCTGCTGTGACTGATTCAACGTGCGGTGCTTGGAGCAAACGACCCTGAGTCTCTGCACCCAAAGGGTCTTTGATTTGAACTGGAAACCCCAAATCCAAGCCTAAGATACAGCCACATTACGAGTTAGTTTGCAAAGGATTAAGAAGAGACTTCCTCTGAAATGCCTGTCCCTGAAGTAACTTAATTGGCTATTTAACGTTTTAGTATCTTCCAGTTCGCAGGATCCCTTGCAGTGCCCCATGTGTGGTTACTTGAAAGCCCCCTGCACCCGGGCCAGGCGCACACCTGGGCAGCTTTCACTGTCTGAACATTCTGACGCTGAGGTAAACCTACCTTTTATTCATGAAGACTTCCAGCACTGCGGTTTCTGTTCTTTAAATGGGCAACAGAAAAGAACTGGGGACACTGTCATTCCACAGTCCCACAGAGCAGGAAGCCCACACTGAGGGAGAGCGTGCTCAGCTCTGGTGTACAGCGTTGACACACCCCACCCAGAACACCACAACCAACCTGCATCCATCTCCACGAGGATGTTGTCAGATTTCAAGTCTCTGTGCGCAACACCCTGTTGAACCAGATGATCCACCCCTTCCAAGAGCTGCAGGGTCATGATGGTGGCGAGGCGGGGGCTTGGGGTGTTCTCACGAAGGTACTGGCGCAGGGTGCAGGGGTAGCTGGTGGAGAAGGAGAAGCCGCTGGCACATCCACCCCCACACCACCACGCTCACTGTTAGGGTCGTGCCTCTCCCTGGAGCTTTGGGTACTCTCAAGCATCCTTTCTGTGCCCACCCACCTGGATCCTGACAGCAGAAAGAGCTGGGGCGCCACATGTTACCTGCACCCCTAAAGCTAGGGGTGCTGAAAGAACGGGCCACCCAGCCACAGAGAAGGAGCAGTAGTCAGAAACAGAATGCAGGGTGAACGTGCGTTCTGATAAAGATGAAATTTTTTGTCACAACCAACCATCCCTGCAGGCAGCTAGCACTGAGGCACAGCCTGCCACACCTGTCTCCCGAGGGCAAGGCTGCCCCTCCCGACACCCCATGCCAGGTGGGGTGACCGGTGCCCACTCCAGGCCCCTGCTACTCACTTCTTCATAACGAGGAAGAGTGTCCGCCCGTGGCCGAGGCCGTCTGGGTGGAGGCGCGGGGGCAGCACGTCGGGGTAGTCAACCAGGGCCCCTGGCAGCAGCGGGACAGCTGAGGTGAAGGCGCGGACTACGCGGATGATGTTGGGGTGCGGCGCGAGCTGCTTGGGGCCGCCTTTGGGTTTCCTGTCACGGGCAGGTGGACAGTGTATGAGGTCACTGAGATACAACGGTCAGATACAACGGTCAGAACGATGTGAGGTCACCATAAACCCTGACACCCATTTGTTAAGCCAATATTTACTGAGATCTGCCATGTGCCAGGTGCAGAGCCTGGAGTTGGAAAACAGCCTCAGGAAGGTGACTCATCACCTCTGATAACTGCATCCCTCAGCCTCACTCCGTCTGTCCCTCCACCCACGTGGCAGAATGCACCTCAGAGGCCCTGGAGCCAGACTGCCTGGGTCTGAACTCCGGATCTTGTCACCTCATGTCCTCGGCCAAGATACTTCTCTGGGCTCAATCTCAAATGCAAAAAAACCAAAAAAACAACTCACTAGTACCTGTAAAATATCCAGAATCTCTGTGGTCCCAAGTCCTAGCACCACACGTGGCTTGGTATATGAGCTCAATGGCCTTTGCTGAACAACAGATCCAGAAGCAGCCACAGTGGCGACGTCACCTGCTCCCTGCTCACCGGGAGTCCCACAGCCCCACAGAGCAGGTGGCCACCTGCTGTGTCCAGCCCCTCAACCCTTGCTGACTGAATTAAGGGCACCTGACTCAGGAGCCAGGAGCCTGCAGTCAATATGAGGTTCTGTGTGTGGAGTGTAAGTGAAGAAAGGTGGCCGTGACGCAGCAGTCAGCAGTGGAGCCGAGGCCGAGAGGATGCATGGACTTGGCTGGGGCCAGAGGTGTGTGAGCTGCAGGGAGGAAGAGCACTGGGCAGGGAATAGGACGCTGGTGGGGGTGGGGAGAGGAGACTGGCGCAAAGCCCCGGGATGTGGAGTCAGTACCGAGAGGGCGCGAGCTGGGCCCGGTTCCCGAGGTGCAGTCCAGCCTGGAGAGGCCCTCTACGGCGCCTTCACCGGAGACCCTGCCCGCTGCAGTCCACGGGGTCAGTGTGCTGCCCCGACCACAGTGGGAGTATCAGACCCCAGCTAGATGTCGCAGGCACGCCCAGTCAGGAGGGGTGTGTGACTGCTGGGTGTGGCGCTGAGACAGGACGGGGCAGGATACACACGTGCGACGGGATGGGAGGCCACGGGAGGGCCGCCCATGACCACTGGTTGCCTGGTCGGAGGAGGCCAACGGGAGTCCCGTGTGGGGAAGCGCAGGGCACAGAAGTGGGACGAAAGACACTGGGGGAGAAGTGAGGCGCAGAGGACAAAGGGCTGAGCTGGGGGACCCTTGGAGCCACGGCTGAGCAGGGATGCCCCGGATGCTCTTGGGGCGCATCTCCTGAGACGGCGCGAGACGGCAGCAGCACTCTAGGCCTCGGACCTGCCGTGCTCACCGACAAACCCACACACTGGCCTGTGTAGTAAACAAAGCCACTCTAGAGAGGCCGAACACAGGCTCGGGGTTTAAGGACCTGTGGGATAAGGGCGAGGACAAAGGCCGAAGCGGGAAGGGCTGCGGAGTGGCAGGAACTGAGCAGGCTGTGGGCAGCACAGCGTCTCCTGAGGGTAGTTACCGCTGCTGCCACTCAGATCCTTGCTCTTCCCTACAAAGAACTCAGGAGAGGGCAGTGCTGAGCCCAACAAGCAGCCACTTCTCTGGCCTTACGGCCCCTCTGTCATACTGGAGCCGCCAAACTGCAATTTCTACCTTCCTGCTGGTGACGGAACTAGGCAGCAAGACAGCTCTCCGTAAACGGCCAGGAAGGCAGGCCCACCTCTTCCTGGCTCAGGTGGGTGCTGGCGGCGCTTGGCAGTGCGCTTGCGCTGCCACCTCTGGGGCCTGACAAGCCCTGTGGCAGGGCTGCTGCCACCACCTCCCCTCCGCAGGGAACGTCTCTGCTTCTCTGTCTGAGTGGTGTCTCCTCACCCTTCAAAAAGCAGCAGACTGTCACTCTGAAGGCTGTCCCCCACATACTGCTCCTGGGGTCCCTCACACCTGCCCACTCTGCTCCTATCTGGCTCCCCTGCCACATGAAGAACTCTTGGGAAACAGGTCACTTCTGTTTATTAAAATCTCTTGACACCACCAGATACACTGCAGCAGTGGGCCAAGTGTTTGACCTCCACGGGGGAGAGTTCACTTTGAACTGAGAGGTGCCGCTCCGCCTGAGCGCGATTGAGGCGGCCCAGAGGGCAGGTCATTCCCCACACTCTGACCAGGCCTTTGGGCAGCCCTCCCTCCCTGCCCAGTGCACCTCAGCCATCGGCACCTTCACTGAACAAAGCTGCGACTTCGCCCAAGCCAGTGACCTTCCGGCTGGAACGCTGCCCTAACTCCACCACAGAAGCAGCCGTGTCGAATCAGACACAGTGCTAAGGACACAGGCGGCGATTCTGCTGTCAAAGAACCCACAGGTAGTGTGGCGGGAGATGCTTACCTGTAACAGACTGCCCCATACTCCCCAGCCAAGGCCACGCGGCTGGCCGGGACCAGCTCCTGGCTCATTGTGCTGAAGATGGCTTCACTGGAAGAGCCGGCCTGGAACACACCACAGGGACCCCGGGTTACACAGACTGAGGGGTGGCCAGTCTGAGCCCTCCCTGTAGGGATCTAGGACAGCGACTGCCCAGAAGCGGCTCTGACTTTCAGGAGGAGATAGCCTCTCTGAGAGCACAGCTAACCAGTGTCTCCCGGGTGAGAGGGCAGAGGCGCCGCCCAGGCGTCGAGCTCTTTGCTGCTCAGGGGCCAGGGCAGGAAGACATATTCAGAGGACTGGAGCCTAGGAAGCTTCCTCCTGCCAGGGGCGCCTGTCACTCCTAGGCTCGGTACAGACCCCCACCACCAGATGAAACTCTTTTAGCCGACAGGCAGAGCTGACCCGCCCACTGAGGGCAAAGCTGTCATGGAAGTGCTGTCCCACCCCTGCAAACACGAGCAAATAAGCAAACAGAGGACAAGTACTTCACTCTCCTCATCACTCTCAGACCTGCAGAACCTGTCAAGTACCAGGAAGCCCCTATAAAATCATGATGTTTAGCTTTTGTGGCTGCAACAGTGATCACGCCTCAGCCAATTCTGATGCTGAGACTGGATGTTTCCCAGGCAAAGGATTTGGCAACTTGGCTACTGCCCTGGTAGTGCAATGGCTAACAATCTTGTTCCCCAAACCAAAACAAGGAAGGGCACTCGGCAGTGCCCCACAAGCTCAGCAGCCCCGGAGAGCAGCGCTGGGTGGGTTTGATAAATTCTCCAAAGCCACCAGTGAGTAGATCCAGAAATCCCTCTCAGTGGAGGAAATCTTTGTTTTTGAGAGGAAATTACACTCCCAAATTCTCAAGAGTTGCGAACAGGGACGCAGGAAGCTGGAGGTGTGTGGGAGGCAAGTTGGGGAAGGTGTGTGGCTTAGCGGGTGGGCTGGCCAGCACCGGCCCGGGGATCAATGGCTGAGGCCCCTGCTGCTCCGGTGTGGCGCCCATGAGCAACAGGGGCCTGGGTGCCTGTTACTAACAGGCACCCAGGCCCCATGCTGGCCCCAAACCTGCTGGTGCAGGCTGACTGGAAGACCTCACAATCTGGGGCCCAACCTGAAGGGGTCTGAGGTGAGAGGGCGAGGAAGGTTATAGAGAAGTTGTGTCTGTTCTAATCTACTTCCCAGGAGAAGGTGCCCAGCCCACTGAGACTGGCGTTGACACGTGCCCACCTGGGTGGAAGGCCCGCCCTTACCGAGATGTTCCACATCATCTTGATGGCCAGGGGAAACGCAGGGGCCGGCAGGGCTTGCTCCGCCTCCTCTCCTTGGGGAACAGCATCTGGGCCTCTCTCTGGAAGAAGCCTGCCGCTCTTTGCCACCTGCAGGTTCTGGGGTGACACGGGCATGGTGGCTTCATACACAGCAGCACTGCAGCCCTTGCCAATGGATTGCCCGATGAGATACTCCTCCAGCCGGAAGCCCTGCCGGCGCTGTGTGTCCAGCGGGTCGGGCAGCAGCTTGCTCTTTTGGGTAAAAATCGCCTGTGAGGAAAAAGCCATGCATTGTGATCCAGGGTGCCCAGGAAGTCTCCACTAAAGGAAATGGGGCGGCACGGCCTTCACTGATAAGATCAAGAGCTAAATAGACAGGCAAACTCGGTTTTACTGCTCATCCTGCTTTTCTCCCTCTCATTACTCAGAATCTGCACCCCCACCCCCAAACTGTTGGTTGAGTGCAGTCAGAAACAGCTGGGTCAGAGCACTTGATTAGTGAGGTCAGAACTGACTGCGGCTGGCCCTACCCCTCGGCCACCGGCCCAGCCCCCAGCTGCCCTCTCGCCTCACCCCACCTGCTTCTGTCTGATGAGGCCACATCTCTCCCGTGTCGGTTCAGCTCCCTCCTAGGTTATTCCAAACCTTGCCCTGGGACAGGACACCCTTGTCCAAGAGCCCCAGTGGAGGCCTGAGATCCAGGTATCCCCGAGCCCAGTGCACTCTGTTAGGTTTTCTTCTTGCACACACCTGTGTTTACATCTATTTATTTTTTGCAAAGGGAGGAGTTTTGTGAAAAGAAACAGCTGTGTGGTCACATGCGGACAGGAGAGCAGACCTGTGGTAGTTTAACTTACTAATTAGAGCCCAGAAGAGGCAAACAATATGGTAAAATAGAACAAGTCTAGCAATATACTATGAAGAACGCGATGTAAATGTGGCGACTCTCAACACCCTGCTATGTATAATATTTCGGGATAGCCTGAGCGCAGGTGACTGCAACTGCGTGGGGAAAATGCCGACGCGGGGTGACTACCGAACATGCAGCTGCTCTGCGCCCTGTCCACATTTACCTTCCTCCTGCTTCCCTCTGCACCAATTCCACTCTCCTATCCTGCCTGGCCAGTCTCCACTCATCCCTCGAGTCCCCACTCGAGCTCCCTGGTCTGTGACCAGTCCTGGCAGCCACATCCTACAGCACTCTTCCTGCCATGGGCTGAGTACCTTATACCTGGCCCAAGAACTTTCACTCTCTTTAAACGATGACAGTCTGTCAGCCTTGCCCAGTAGTTTCTAAGCTCCATGAGGCGGAGCAGTTTTTAGAGTGACCCTTTATCAATCATGGTTTTGAGCATGAGGTATATACCACTTCACTCTGTACTTTGAAATAGACTCACAGAAAGTTGGGGAACAAACCCTAAAAATCAAAAACAAAACCCAAAAGAGCACAGTCGTGTGCATGCATCACCTAGCCTCCACACGGACCCCTCTCAGAGCGCCACTTGTTACCAGCAGGGAAGAGGCCCCCGCGTAGCACTGCTGTGACCTCTGGACGCCTTGACTCAGGGCCCGCTGGCTCACATCCCGCACCTCGCCTCTGGCCTGCAGTCCCCACACAGGTACAGGGCGTGCCTCTGCGCCGCTGCCGAGCTGCCCACCCGACCCTGTCCCTGCACCTCCGTCTCTAGTTTTGTCCTCTCAAGAATCTTAGAGAAATGGGATCTCACAGTATGTAGCCTTTGGAGACGTTATTCACTAAGCATAATATCCTAGAGGTTAATTTAGGTTGTTACCTGTATCAAGAATTGATTTCTTGTTACAGCTTAGTATTCCATTAGATGAGTGTATCATGTAATACATCACCTGTTCAGGGACCTTTGGGCGGTTTTTCATATTTTGCTATTACAATGACGCTGTGAACACTGGCACACAAGATTTAGAAAACTAGTTTTTAAAAAATGGAGGTAAAACACACATAACCTAAAATTTTGCGTCTTACCCCTTCCTAAGCCCACAGTTCAGCTCCTGCTGCTGTGCAGACCTCGCCCTAACCTCCCCAGGTGCCAGATTGAAGTTGCATGTTAAGCCCATGCCCCTCCCGCCTCCGCTCAGCCCTGGTCACGCCGCTCTACTTTGTGTCTGGGATTCTGCCTACTCCAAGCCTCTCCTCTCAGTGGAATCTTGGCATCTTCGTGACTAGCTCCGCTCACTTCGCATAATGTCCTCCAGGCTCACCCATGCTGGGGCAGGTGCCAGCATTTCCCTTCCATGGGTGAGCAACACCCTATTGCAAACATCGGTCATGTTTTGCTTTTCTGTTCAACTGCCCGTGGACACTTGGGTTGCTTCTCTTCCACCTTTTGACTGTTGCAACAAAAGTTGCTATGAATGTGGGTGTACCTGTTAATCTGGTCAAGAAAATAATGTTTGGGTATATATCCAGAAGTAGAATTGCTGGATCATATGGAGATTCTATTTTTAATTTTGAGAACCTCCATATTGTTTTCCATTGCGGCTCCTTTTGTACAGGTTTTGTGTGATGTTTCATTTTTCTGAGTAAATGGCCAGCATTATGATGGCAGGTTTAGTTTTGTAAGAAACTATCAATTATCTTCCAGAGTGCTTTTACCATTCTATAGTTGCACACCAGTCTAGCTGCTCTGTATCCCACCAGCGTTTGGTAGTACCAACATGTTTAAAAAAGGAGCTGTTCTGTAAGTATGCACTGTTATATTATACTTTAAGAAGGCATGTCCGTAATGGCTGATGCTTACCTTCTCATGCTCTAATGCACCTGCTCCTGGGACGTACAGACGCAAGCTCTCTGCCTGCATCATTACTGGTTATTTTTCATATGTCTCTATCCAAGGGGACTGAGGCTAACACCATATGCAGTTTTAGCACTAGAGTTGCCAGATCTGGTGGTGGTTTTTTATTTTTTTTTTTTCAAAATGATCTAAATTTAAAAAATTGAAATTTGACAGATAAGTAAATATTAAAGACACAGGAAGGTAAAGTGTGAGAAAAGGGAATGTAGGCGATAAACTTAGGAAGATCAAGCTCCCCAGTTTAAAAAAGTGTCCAGGATTTAAAGTAGGATTTGTTGTTTCCTATCCTTGGCTTCTGCCAGCGAAGCCATAGACAGGGACAAGGACAGCAGCTGGGGCCCAGGTCAGTTGTCACCTGTCTCCCCAAACTGGCCCAAGCTCAAACATGAGATGTCCTGGGCTGGAAACCAAGAACAAGGAAGACACTGCTCGTCCCTTATCAGCTGTGTCCTTGGGCTGGTCACCCCAGCTCCACTACCTCAGCCCTAAGCTGTAAAACACTGGGGCTGACCTGACAGTCAGAGGTTCCGAAGTCCAGGAAGACCTCCTGGCTTCAGGAGCGAACTTTGCCAGCAGGTGCACCGCCTTGAGCACAACGGTCTTCCCTGCAGATTCTGGACTTACCAGCCTTATAGCAGCAGAGACAGCCACACAGACTACCATTTTGGCTGGATAGAGACAGAAGTCTCTGAGAATTTAAACATTTAAAAAGCCGAAGCGCCCTAGATATATCTAGTCACGAAACCTTTAGGTGTGGCATTTTCTCCCATTCCTAGTGTTCTTTAGCATCAGCGATGTCACTAGTTGTTTGGCTAAGCTAGTTGTTTGGAGGCCGCCTGGCTCGGTGTTAAGGACACGGCCTTGGAGTTAGAATTGGGCACTGCCCGTTATAGCTATGTGGCTCCGGGCAGTTACTTGCCCTTGCCTCATCCATTCATTGCGGCTGACTACCTCCGGGAAAGCCGCCTTATTATTTAGTTGCCATTAAATTTTAGACAATTAACATAAAGTCACTAGCCAGTGTAACGGAAGCTATATGTAGCGCGGCTTATCAGGAGGTCAGCAACAATGAAAATGAGTCATAATCGGTAACTTCCAGTGAACTTCTGGCTCCAAAATAGGTACATCTTGAGC